TGTTCTCGGAAGGGGCCAGCGATGTGGAGGGGAGGTACGTCTCGAAAGAGTCCACGGTTTTATAAATGGTACCGCCAAGGATTCTGCTTTAGCGGGGTGAAGATCCTTTTGTGGCCTTCTCACAGGCTAACCAACAATGCTCTTTTGATGCATTGTATGTGTCTATATACATATATATATATATATATGTATATATATATATATATATATATATATATATATATATATACGAGTTAACATGACATAGAAAACGAATATGTTTTATATGTGCATATCACGGTGACATAATACAGGATGTTTCGAAAGTCGGATGAAATATTTAAAGGAGCTTTGCATAATTTACTGTAGTAAATTTTTCTTAAAACACGGTCACGTATACCCCTATGATATCAAATAATTCAAAAAACATAAATAATTCAAGATTTTTTTAAAAACAGAACTTAGCTTAGTGTTGCTCCTGAAATACCTGTTTTTAAATAGATGTGGCAATGAGTTTCGTTTGAAGCAAATTTTCTCTACTTTACAGTAAAGCAATTGTCAGTTACTCAAATTAAATATTATTTTAGTTATCGTCCCCAATTTATCAAATATGTGACTTATTTAAAAAACACAAATCTTATATTTCTATGGAAATGGGTTTTATCTTTAATTTATTATCTGATAATAACAAACAATTTTGGTCTCTCTCATATTCAGAAATACAACAGTAAAACGTAATCTTCTTTAATAGCCTTAAGCACTAGCGGATCCAGGATTTAATTTTGGGGGGAGGCTTCAGCCAGAAGGATTTTTTTTTCATATATATATATATATATATATATATATATATATATATATATATATATATATATATATATATATATATAACGATAATTAATTTGAAAAATAAAAAGAAAGCAACTAACTACCCATATGACATGGTGTTTTAGTTATTCTTGAAGTCATATTAAATGTAATCATGCGAATAATAATAATTTAAGAGATAGTTTTTAATATTTTTTTTCTATAAAACATGGTTATATTTTACCATTTGGGGGGGAGGCTTCAGTCCGAAAGGCTCCCCGTAAATCCGGCTGTGGCTTTAAGCATAAAATAAAAATTAAACGGAAAATATAGTTCATCAAATAAGAAATACGCGGTTCTCTTCATTTTTAGATTATTTTTAGTTTTTGCAACTACCAACTTGTGCAACGTGGATGTCGATATTACAATTTAAAATGAAATAAGAAATAAAATTTTCTATTAAAATACTTTTTTAAATAAGTACAACACTTCGTATTAAATATACCTGTTATTAAAAAAAATGTTTTACATATAAATTTAAGTTATTTGACTAATTTTCAAATCTTATATACAAAATAAATATTACTTATTAAAATATGATTTTAGAATACAAGATAGAGAAGGAGAGTGTAAAGATAAAAAAAAGTAATGAAAAATATATTTATTAATAGATAGATATTGATATTCTATTTTTATATTGTTTTAGTGAACAACTGTCTCATGAGATTGATAGCATGTATTATGAAATGTATCTGAGGACTATCATTCCATAGTGATAGATTAGACAGAGAAAAAATCCAGCTTCTACCTCATATCTATCCGCCCAATGACCTTTATTTAAAATATATTTCCAAATATATAAATCTTTGATAAAATGTATTTAAAATTTAAGTTAATTTTATATAAAGTACTATATTTATTAAAGAGCATGGAGGTTTATCGGAGGAGGTAAAGGGAAAGTTGGGAGAATAAGGAAAACCGCAGAGGGAGGGGGTATTATCGAGTGGGGTGAATTCACCCCCGTGGAGGGGGCAGCCAAGGTCGGTGCACTGCCCCCGTCCAAGGTCGTCCGGGCCGCCCCTCGTTTATAACCACCCCGCACCCACCCAGCCGCCCCCCCCAACCACCCCCCAGCCGCCCCCATCTATCCAACCCTAATTGGCAGGTGCTCCTCTTACAGTCAATACGAGTCTCTTTTCGCCGGATCCAGCCTTCTCAACGGACATATTGTTCATTACAGATATTTATTAATATATTATATCATCTATACCAGATACAGCACCGTATTACGGATCCCTATTACGGCCCTCAGGAATGATTGGTTTTGATGGACGGAAAGAAATCACACAGAGAAGTGACTAATTCCAAGTTTAAAACCTTAAACCTACTACCTACAACTACAATAAAAGTCATTAAATGCTAGGTTTCAAAACTCTTTTAAGGATTTCGAAAGACATTAAGAGCCGGATAGTTCGAAAGGAACAATCGGACCCTGCGTTTTGAAGCCCGAAAATATCCCGTTCTTGAGACAAATCTTAATTATTGCCATGGCTGATAAATACTCTGGACTAAGTTAAAAAAAAAATTTAATTTTTTATTTATGACAACGTTTCAACCCAAACATGAGGGTCATCTTCAGGGCGTGGTTTGAGCACTGAGGGTGTTCAAGTACTGGGGAGAGTAATAGGGGGTACTTGAACACCCCCAGTGCTCAAACCAAGCCCTGAAGATGACCCACATATTTGGGTTGAAACGTTGGCATAAATAAAAAATTAAATTTTTTTTTTAAAAAGATTGCTTCCTGAATATTTATCACCCATGATATGTAGAAAAGTCGACTAACTTCCTTCCTTAATTCTTGTCGAATACCTCTTAATTTTTATAATTGCCATGACATAGTTATCACGTGTTCAGATTTTAAAAACTAAAATAATGATTTTTATGATAGTCTTCGACGAAATAAAAATCTATTGAAAAGGTAAATGGAGTTGAACTTCTGATAATAAAGAAAGACACTTCTTGACATATGTATCCAGGAATAGCTTCTATATAGTAATAATCAGTAATTAGTCCATGGTACAGACACCTTTTTTACTAATTAATAACATTCGCCGAAAACTTCGTGAATACTTCTCCTCATCTCATCGTAACATATAACTTTTTATGTACTTAGAATTGGGGAATTTGAAATCTGCGATTACCTATTTGCTTTCCACTTGAATCGTTGGATAATTTGATCAGAAAATCGAGAATAAAGATGGATTACAAATATATTGGGCCGTTTGGCGTGACCTCCGACCCCAACATCAAAATAACGAGTTTATATTGGCCAAACGGCCCAATATTTTTGTAGGCCGCCTTCTTTTTCGTTTTGTGATCAAATTATCTTAATTACAATTTTTAAATAATTTGATTCGTTGATAAAAAAATGTAATGTACAATAAGATGAAGCCTTTCACGAAATTCTCGGCGAAGTTGTATACTTTAATAAATATTAAGGAATAAATTCTGTTTATTTAAAAAAATCACTCCAATGACAACGAACACTATACCAAATATTATCGTGTTATTTATATACTTAATATGGACTTTTCTATGCGTACATCCAATAATAGATTATAATAAAAAATAAAATAAATAAACCATTTACTCAGATAAAAACCTCAAAAGTAAAAGATAACACCAAATCTTATCTTTTAGGATGTGGAAATCAATTGTTTTTCTTAAAAATAATTTTGATTTTATCAAGGGTTTACCAATTTAAATTTATCACTAACATATCATTTATTAATTTTTTTGAACTAGTTTTAAATTAAAAAAAAAAAGAATGCGCTAAAGTTACATTATAATTTATAATAATTGCTTTAATTTTTATAATGAGAATCGTAAAGAATCATTTAGAGATTAAATATTGAGTTATATGATAACGAGAACGATTCGGCGTCGAGCATAAATTCAGTTACAACCTTACGGTGAGTTTAGACATTTAACAAACTATGGAAAACGCAAATATTTAAATGGTTGTATTCTATGGCTGGTGTGTTTCTTTCTTGTTTTTGATATATTCCATTAGTTGTCAGTAACAAGAGAGATAAAAAAAAATATTGGACTTGGCGCTAATGTAACTATTAGTTAAGTTAGATAATTGTGTTTATTACAGTTTATTAAATGTGTGAACGTATCTTTACAGGCAACTGAAATTAAGAAATTGACCTGAAAGTATAACAAAAACTAAAAAAATCTCGTTAATGATTACGGAAAAAGATGAGGGAAAAAAATGTTTAGAATGCACAAATATCCTTATAAAAAATTACCGAAAAAGTGATATGCAGCTTAAATATGCGATCGATCAAACCGAACAAAGATAAAAGGATGGTCAGATAAATTTGATTAGATTTTGTTTTTGTTTTTTTTAATTCTTGTCAAGTGTTTCCTGACAGTTAAATGGCTTACGGCACGCAAGCGGCGTGTTTGCGGAACCAACTAATGCTAGCTAGATATGGGAAAGGAAACAGAAGCTGATAAGCGTTTGTGCAGACATAAGAGTTTGCCGACATAGTAATACATCCACGTCATTTTAACTAATATTGGAACAACCTTAACATGTGACGTTTTTAGTCTCTAAATATATTCCAGACAATAAAATATGTTATATAAACATTTTCCTTGTCAACAATTTAATTGCAATCTACTGATTTTTCTCTGAGCATAAGCTTCTAAAGGGATTTAGAGCGATTTTCAAAATTATTTTTTATCATCTCACTACTTTTTGAATATAGACCATATGCAATAAAATAATTACGCTTTGTTAGTTGAGTATTCTCTATTAAATTGTAAATTTCGGATAATCTCTGTCACCTCCAGCATATAATATGCCTCAACTTTATATACAAAATTAAAAAATATTTTTGAAATTTTATACCTTAAAATAAGGGATGTTTCTTCTATTCCCCTAAAAATAGGGTGCATAAAAAAAATGACCATTTTATCAAATTCAAGATTTCAAAGGACTGTAAATATTTTAATCCTATTTAATACTTAAAAATACCTTTAGAGCATTCTATAAGTTTGCTTAATCCCATTCGAGTTCTTCACAAAAAGCCTCAGTTTAGTTATTTGTTTCAAAGAAGAAATATGATAGTGTCTTACGAAATTCTCGCCATTTTAAGCCATTATGAAAAAAAAAATCACAGCCGCTGAAGCAACTCGTGCAATTATTAAGTTGAAAAGATGTCCTTGACCAGCGCACTGCGCGGCGTTGGTTTGAAAAATTTAGCAGTGGAGATACGACGTTGGAAAGGAAGAAGGGCTCCAGGTGACAAATTCAAAATTAATGAGATTCTGCAATAAGCTGTTGAGTCAAATCCGTCCACAAGTACTCGCGTACTTGCTAGGGAGTGTGTTGTGTCGAAAGATACTGATAATCGCCATCCACTCTCCATGGAGAAGGTGGAAAGAGCAATAGACTGGTCTCACATGAAATAAAATATCCTTGTAATTAAACTCATCCACATACATTTCAATATTATTAGGCTAATAGAGTACTTGATTAGGCCACTTTCCAGTTTTGACCTATTTACATAAATTATTTTCTACTTTTTGCGTATAGGTCGTATTCAATAAAGTAATCATTGATTATTCTTTATTAATTTATATGTTTCGAGGAATCTCTGCTCCCCCTTTACCTTATAATATGCCCTAAAATAGGTTAAGCCCTAGTTATTAATAAGTTAATAAAAATTGATATTTGAGTGAAAATATTTTGTGAAAAAAGATCGAGACTGAAAACTATTTTTTATAACTAATTTTCCTTTTACTAAATCACCAACAATGTTTTAAAACATTAAAAGAAAAATATTTAACTACAAAATTTATTCCGAACTATTTTGCGTTTTCATGTCAATTATGTGATTCCAACTTTAATGGACGAACATTATAAATGATTATTATTTATTTTTTGAAAATAAAAAAAAACAATGTTGAATTTATAATACGTGTGATAAGTCTTCCTTTTCTGTATCGGGCTATTTTTAATTCATATTCCTCCACGTGTTATGTGCAATATGTAAATAATTTTTTCCTTCTTCCTTCATTAAAATTTTAAATTTGAAAGCAAATAAATTATCATCGTTTTTACGTTACGTCTACGATATTTTGAACTATTGAATATTTAAAAAAAATGTAATATCACTAATTATACGTTGATAAATGGATTAAGTTTACATAATGTTCTATCCAAATCGACCGCATTAAAAGATTTGGGAAAAAATATTTTCCTGATTAAAAATTTAAAGTTAAGCATGACGAGGTCCTTTCAGCATACTTTGTACCAATTTCAATAATTAGTTTGTTTTCCAAGTATTATAACCTCCAGTTTAAATAATACAATAAATAAATAAATGAGATTGTATGTATGCATTGAAATACTAATTTAGAAATGGTATTAAAAAAAACAACTAAATTGTTAGTAATATGGTAACATCAAATCTATTATCAGTTACATGTAATACTGTATTATGGAAGAAGAAGATGGTTCGGGGTGTCGGTCATAAAAATACTTAAAGTGGTGAAAAAAAAATTTTAAATCTGCGTTTCCACGCAACTATTCAGGTCTATACTGTATTATAATATTATTAAAAATGTCTGAAATATAACTGTGATACAAAAAAAGTTAATACGGCATTCTTTAATAAATTAAAAAATCCAACATTTTTTTATAACGTTTTACGTTAAGTAGAATTTCAGCAAAAATTACCATTTTTAATCAATTAATTTCGTCGGAACTGGGTATCATTTAATTACATCGGCCATTAAGCAGCGATATTTGATAAATAAATTTAATCATCTCCAGAATATTTAAGTCATTCGGTTGTTTATTAGTAGTTTGGAATTCAACAATATTTGATTAGGTTTGGTATGTTTAAATTTCGGCAAATCAAATATTGCGTGCCTCAATTCGGAAAAGCATTTGGCAGAGATAAGGAGATGACCTTGGTAATAACGAAACAAAAAAAAAAAAAAAAAAAATAGAAGATTGGAACCCTCCTTATCAGGCACAATTAGCCACTTATCTGCAGTCCAAATGTTTGGCAAACGTTATACAACTTATGTGCCAGAAAACGTGGCATGCCATCAAAAGCGCTGTCAGTTCAGAAATTGAAATACTTTCCTAAAAGGGATTGGGATCACGTACATCAGCAGCTGCAGTCGCCCGGTTCTGCGAACGTGATCCGATCGCGCGGTGCGTCTCATTTTCGGTAACGTTCGGGCTAGCATGTTTGCAGCTCGCCCGCACGGAGCGGCTTTGGCTCACTTCCTCTAAGGCCGGGGGGGCACGTTCACCAAAAACCAACGGCCTCCAAAAGATGAGGAGCAGTTTCTTAACCCCGCGGCGATGCTGCGTCGCGAATGCCGACGTGCGTAACAAGCCATCAGCGTTCGTTCGCACCGCCGGAAAGTCGTGTAACCGACCGTCAACTTTGTCCGTCAACAGGTTGTGATGAAATAATAGGAACTTACATGAGTACATGAGTACATGAGCAATCAGATTTTCTTAACATTATGTTAAGACTACTGTACATAAACATATTAAATCTGTTAGTCAAGGTACAGAATGTTGGCCATTCTGATCCGATTAATTTGCCGGATTAAATATGTTATCTTAAAAGAGACTTGGAAAAAAACCAAAATTTCATTCGTCGTTGAATTCCACCACGATAGCCCGTGGTACAGACCCCTTTTTATCAAATTGTTGAGATACATCTGAAACTTCGTAAAAAGCTTCTTCTCATCTTAACCTACAACTGTTTACGAAAATTCACGGAATTGGAGCGTTTTCAATCTGGAGATCGGCAAACTTTGTCTATTTAATTAGATACTAAAAACTCGTAAACACTCATTTGCTTTCCACTTGAATTTTATAATAATTTGAACAAAGTTCCAAACAAAAATATTGAGCCGTTCGGCGTGACCTACTTCTCCAAAATGTCAAAATAACAAGGTATAGGCCAAACGGTCCAATATTTTTGTAGGCCATGTTTTTTCTCGATTTTGATATCAAATTATCTTACGATCAAAGGGAAAAGCAAATGGGTATTTATGAGTTTTTAGTATCAAATTAAATATACTAAGTTTGCTCAGATTAAAAACGCCCAAATTCCAAGAGTTATCGTAAATAAAATACTTGTAGGTTACGATGAGATGAAGCTATTCACGAAGTTTCAGGCGGATGCTAATAATTTCATAAATAGGTAACACAGACTATGATGGCTATTTTTGAACAGACCCTGACTGCTAATATTTGAACTCATTCTTAAAATGTAAGAATATATAAAACTTTAAAGGTTATTTCGAAGAATTAAGGGAAAATTAAAATATATGAGTATCTACGCAAATATTATTAAGTGATATTCTTGATTGTTTTCACTATTTTTTTTGTCTTTAGATCAGTATAATAAATAAAAATCTTTACAGGAGTTGAACGGATTGTCACAAAATTCGTGATTAAAATATGCACTTATCCATTACTACTCACCTAATATTTCTAAGCTAGTAGTGTGAAGGAAATTCTTACCTAAAAAATAAAAAAAATAAAATTAAGTAAGATATAATCCTTACAAGTTAAGTTCATTATTGGTAAGTTATTTACATAAACTTCATTATTGATATTGACATGTTAACTTCAATGAACAATAAAGATAAACAGTAACTACATTTATTTTTGTTTTAAAAACATGTGAATTTGTTTTTTTCAAAATATCGCCTAATTCTTAAAAATATGAAAACAATCGTGATCAAGAGATATAAGAAGTATATATATACTCTGAAAACCTTGAATTTTCAAAAGAAAATCCAATCACAGTAAATTTGTAAATAAATGCAAATTTGAAACATGAGACGAGATATAAAATTGGGGCCATTTTTTTTCTAATATTTTATGAAGATTAAAATGCTTCATGTGTTAAGGAATAAAATATTACATTAGGAAACAAGAACTATTTATATATATTATTCCATGTATTTGCGACAGTTTGATATTTTATGATAAATAGGTGAGTTTGACTTACTGTTTATTATAATGCTGATTAAATTAATAAACAGTAATCAACAAAAATCAACAGATGATAGACTAGTCGGGAGAACTTCCATATATATATATATATATATTAGTATGGTTTCAAGTTTCTTTATACAATTAAAAGAAAAAAATCAACTGGAGGTACTCATATTCCGACAGGTCCCTCCTTACAATGTCAAAGAAGGACAAAGTTGTTAAAATACTATCAATCATAACAAAATTACATAATTTTTAAATTATAAAAAAATAAGCATAAATTTTATTTTATAAAAATATTTTAGGCAACAGCTAATCAAATATTGAAGAAAAATTCCTGATAAAAAAAAATAATGAAACGAATCATTCAACGAATGTCAACGATAAGGTGGGTCAAATAATTGAAATCTAATCGAACTTATCTTGACAAAAAAATGAAAAAATAAAATAATAGATTAAAATTCAATTATACTACGATAGTACTAGAACCTGTTCTGTAATTATTATATATTCACATTAATTAATAACGGATGCCCCAGGAAATTGAACAGGTGTTTTATACAAGCGGTTTATATCTACCAATTTAGAAGTTATAGCACCAGTTCCACATATTAAATATATTATTTAAGTAAAAAATTAAGAGTCTTTTGTTTATTAAGAAATTAATATTGAATGCCGAGTGGACTACCATCATATGTCAACTCATGACAATTTTTAGAACTAAGAAAACCTGCTGTTTCCTTATTTTTCCAACAATAACTGTAACTAGGAAAAAAAGAACTGATTCCTAAGAGCATTAGCTATTACTTAGCCATTTAACGTTTTACAATCAGTTCATTCTTTTTTTCTTCTTAAGTTAAGAAATTGTAAGTAATTTGTAGGTATTATTTGTTTAAAAACATAATAGGGAGACTATTATTATAGACTATTTAGGGGTGAGGACACAAAAAAATAAAGCTAAATCCTAACACTGCTAATAAATAATAATAATACAAAAAAAAAAAAAAAAAAAAACTGGACCACTACAACTTGAACTAACAAAATGAAAATAGTAAAGGTATATAATTTATATCTGATTATGCGCCTAATGATATGACAGACTTCCAAATCTTCTAAAAAAAACGTACAAAAATAATTGAAATCGAACCATTTTTTTTTTTGGTTTGGTATATTATTTTGAATGAACATTAATTCCTTCATCGTAATTGAGTTTACTTATTTTCATATGATATTGTCATTAGTGTTGTCCAAATGCGAGACTGAGACTAGTCTTGGTCTTGCAAACTCAGTCTTGGTCATGGTCTTGGTCTTGCGCAAGCGTTTCGCAACAGTCTTGCAGTTACTTATTAGCTTATTACTATAACGATATTACTGTAATTTTTTAGATAGGAGAAACCTAACTAAGCCCGAATGAAAAATTAGAGGAATTAAATGCCAAAGTATATTGGTTATACCAATTATTAACATATAGTAACTAAGATTGTCAAGTATTAGTAATTAATTTGCTATTAGTATTATTAATATTATTAACATTAAAACCTAGTTTTCCTAATATTGAACATCAAGAGGGAGAGTTGGAAAAATGTCTTTTTTTCTCATGATTCACTCATTGAAGAAAAGACTCATACAAATAAATCATTTTTTGAAGAACGGGAACAAGATTTATGATCTACACTCTTACGAGCAGGGAGTTGAGATTCTTCGACTCAAATACCATCATCGTTCCCTCAGCTTCTCCTTTCCATACCAATCACTCTCTTTGAGAAAGAGAGCTCACGTGACCTACCTACGATTGAATCTTCCTCCTCCCAATAGACATGGAAGCAATGTACAAAGTGCAACTTTGACATATTACCCCGGCCCCACTGAACATCACTTCGTTCCTCTTAAATACCCAAGGAGCACTAGAGACAATAGGAAGGAGGACTGGAAGCAGACAACTACTACAGGCTCACCGCTATTTATAGGGCTGTAAACTTTTACAACCTTTGCAGGGTGGCAACTCTTCCTATTACACCACTTAATTTATGATCTCGAAGGAAACGGCTTTTAGCCTTATTTCTTGAATTTAACAGAAACGGCCAGGTTATATTCAGGTAATCTAGGAAGACCACAAACGTAGCAATTGAACTGACAATTCCAATGGCGCAATAAAATGTAATAGATTTGTTAATAGAATTGGAGTCTAGTCTGTCTTTTTTTTTTTATTTATTTAAAAGAACAGATATTTTATAACCCCGTTAAGCATACTTCTCTAAATGTAAAAAAAAAAAAATTATTACTTGATTCTCTGAGCAATATTGGATCGCTCATCTTTGAACAAGTATTTTCACACCCGCCTAATTTCACGAATTTAAATTTATTTTCAAGAGAGTCTTTCTCTTTCAACGTAGAATAGGCTTTTGATCGAAACTGGCGCCCGAGACTGCTTAACTAACTCCGTAAATTCCTACATCTTACATACTCTCTCATCATCCGTTCCTACGTTACTGACAGATACTTTAAAGTAAGGCAAAATAATGAGTATAACTAGGTCCAATCTTGACATTGCCATTATCACGTATACCGATGACATATGTCATACATACCACACACAAACTTTGAAGAACGGTATATATACTGGAGAATTAAAATTAATTCCAATAAATCCCATCAAATCACCTTTACCCATCGTACCAAACCAATGACTTCATGCCCTGTAATCATTTAATAATTCTACAATTATCCCTGTTGAACGAATCCTATACCTAGTTAATCTAAAATCCTAAAATCTAGCACTCTACCTGGAAAACATTCAACTTGGAATCCCCCTACTAGACTGAAACCATTTTCGCCTACTTCAGTACTTAATAAACAAACACTTTAAGCTTTCAATTAATTACAAAAAGCTGATACACATTGTACTATTGGTCTTTGAAGTTGAGCTTTGGAGCTCCACTAATCCACCAAATTCCTCTCATATCCAAAAACCTTCGTAAAATCATCAATGCTCCTTACTGTATCACAAACATAACGACCATGAAGTACAATGTGTTTTCTATTTGGCCCAATCCAGATACTTTTTCTTCCGAAATAAACTTTAGAACCATCCCAGCATTCCAAACCATCTCGTTTCTAATCTTGCTTCTTCGATTCCAGATAATCCCAGATGGCCCCGTGATCTTCTAATTTAGAACTTTTATTAGTTCTTCAACAAGTATTTTTACTACATTATTTTTCTGAGTCACACTTAGTTGATGCATTTTTATTTTAATATAATTCTAAATTTCATAAATAAGAATTAAAAAAAAAGAAAGAAGGTATTTTAACGCATCTTTGACTCTTTCTAAACAAGCAATTAATTACAGTAATTTCAGAAATGACGTTTGTTGACTGATAGACTTTTCAAATTATGCTAATTGCAAGACATAAATTCACTATTTCATAAGAAAATCTCCCGTTAAAAACTATAAGAAGTGATAAAATTTTAATATTAT